CCAAACATCAGCCACGAAACATTAATGACTTGGAGAGGATCTGCAAAGAGGAGCGGGTCAACATCCCCCCTGAGATGTGTGTAAACCCAACAAAGGTTTTGCCACCAATTACTAAAGCGCGTTTTGCAAAGGGATCAAATACTTATTTCATTCATGAAAATGCAAATTAATGTATAACTTTTTTTGTAATGCATTTTTCTGGATTTTTTTGTTACTGTTGTGTCTCTCACTGTTCACATAAACCTACCACTGAAATTGTAGACTGATAATTTCTTTGTTAGTGGGCAAACTTACAAAATCAGCTGGGGTTCAAATAATTTTTTCTCTGACTGTATATGTGGTTATTATGATTATGTTAATTCATTTTGTTTGAAGCACTTTGTAACCTTGGGTTTTTAAAGGGCTATAGAAATAAATTTGCTTTTCTTTGCTTTAATCAGAGGAAGACTCAAGAAAACACTTGCCTTAATTAATAAAGAACCAGTTTGTGGTATGACAAGGCTTAAACATGTTCATACTTGAACCCAAGCAGCTTTAATTCGAATACAGAAATTATATATTTACATAACATTTTTGCAGCAACCCCAGTGGCAAGATTTCAAAAACTGCTATAGCATTAAATTCTTCTCTTAGTTATTACGTTTCAAATTGGCCCCTTGATATAAAATAAGAAGAAATAGTATTTGGAGGAGGATAATGTTTTGTTTTTATGTATTTACCTGTGTGACAAAATGATTGTTGTCAAGACAGTTATCAACCAATAGCTTATCACAAAATAACTGTTTGCCAGCGCAGTCAGACACAAATTGCTGGTTTGTGGGGTTGGGTGGACACTTATTCTCCTGATAGCAACAGCTGAGTTGTAGTACATCCAAGAGCAAAACACCTTTAAAGTGGCCATGGCATGCTCATTTTGCAAATTTCCAGCCATTTAATGTGTACTCTTCGTACCTCTAGATTAGCTTTGCACCCCTCATAACTCCAAATAGTCTGTAATAATTTCAGAATGATAAAACGAGAGAGCCTCTTCCTAAAGACGAGAGGATAGTTCGTGAATGCAAACACTTCCTGCTGCTGGTGTTGGGTCAAAAGTGGACAGCACCACAATGAACCACAACTGCATTAATTAATTAGAATTTCTTCTCCATAGATAGGCAAACAACAGTATATGTACTGATGAAAAGAGATGTGTAACACTAAACAAAGCAGGTAATTGACAAGTCCCATATTTTAAGTGGCATAATGCAGAAATAGTAACTTCTCCAGCCTTACAACAATTCTCTTTAACTTAACAGAAACAAGGCATTCACAGACATTCAACATCTGTTTTTAAACTTACCATTAAGTCCCACTGAGTAGTGGAAACATCACTCCCTTTAGTAGCTCCAAGGTTGGTAAATCCAACCGGTGGTCGTTGTGTCTTCCCCACACGACCACATATAGTCCCAAAGTAGTGAAATTAATTCCACTAGGTAGCGTAGCACCAACAATAACATCATGGGTTGTTAATCCGCAGGTTAACAAGCAACACATCACATGCGGCAGACACACTGGCCTCAAGCAGTAAAAACAAACAGGTACTGTGCTCCGGGGAAATCCAGTATTGATGAGCTGATCATTCACTGACCCATGGTGCTTCACTGGCCGGGTGCTTGTGGGTTAGACCCGGTCAGGTAAAACAGCGAGTTCCTGTACATAAACATTCTCGGACATGCAGTAACCTCAGGCCCTGGATTTTTCTCCACATCCTCTGGTCACAGTGCAGGCAGAAGGATGTAAAATATATCCACAAAACCACACGCAGTCCAAAAATGCTGCTTTTACAGTGTCACCGGTGAATGTCAGGCAAGCTCACATGAATGTACAACTGCCTGGAGATTATAACCACTCAAGGAGATCCTTAAACTATCACGTAATACTTTATTTTGTTGGAAAAAAAGTCTTGCAAGCCAGAGTTTGTGAGACGTATAAACTAAGTTGCTTCTGCGTAGAGGTACTAGAACATAGTATTTTACATAGCTTTAGGCCATGTCTAAGATGATAATTTACCGTTGTAACATTGTAGAGAATTCAAAAAACAAGGAAAAGCATGCTATGAGCATTTTAACAGTCTCATTTCTGAAATGCTGAATCTTAACACGAGATAAGTACAGGGTGCAAGTGGAGGATCAGTGGTGTAAATTACATAGACAGAATGATGAGGGGTCTCAATCATGCTTCATCATAGAACATGGGACCAATCATTACAGAGCACAGGAGGAGAAGTGAGTATATAGATTCAGTGGCAAGAAGTTCATTTAGCTTTCTCATTGGAAGACTGCAGACTGAACTCATATACCAGTCTAAAACACAACAATGCATTCTGCCCTGATGTGTTTGGGTGTCTTGTTTGGCGTGCTGACCCAGGCGTACTTTCTACCTGTCAAGGTCAGTACCAAGAGAAAATATTTTAGATCAAACCCCCTTTTAGTATTGTCATGCTTTGCAGTCAAAATATATTATGTACCTTTGTATTACAGAATTCCACAAGTGTGCAGGAAGGAAAGATGAGGGTGAAAAGGGAATACTCAGGTGGGCTCTTGGAAAAAGTAAATTTTTATGCATTGTAAATACTAAACTACATTTTGGTTATAATCTTGATGATGGAAACTAGAGGATGGCTATTAAATTCTTTCTATTCTTATTTAGATGAAATTCCAGATCATGATGAAATTACTGTAATGGATCAAATCCTGCAAGTTAATAGCAGTAAGTAAGATGTAAATTATATAAAATGGTGCTAATTCAGGTCATTTGATGGATCTTAAACCAAATGTTTTTTGTCACCAGTGTTGCGAGCCCCTCGAGGACTATCAATCAGAGATGGAGATATTGCCAGCTCATATGTACGGAGTGCCATAACATGTACTGGCAATACCTGTCTGTGGCCTAAATCTGTTGATGGATTTGTTTATGTGCCCTACATAATCTCTGCACTATATGGTACGGGTCAAAATATAAGGAGATGTTACACATGTATTTGCGATTTGAATTGCTTTCTCAAATTTTGCCTGTTTTGTGCGATAGATGACATGGACAGGATCACCATAGAAACTGGGATGCAAGACATTACCTCTGGAACATGCATTAAATTTGTTCCACGCACTCATGAAGCCAATTTCCTTGATATTCAGCCAAGATATGGGTGAGTGTGACGGCAAAATTGCTCCTATACCTGTCATGATATTTATATATGTATAATTCTTGTGTGATGGTTTTGCATTGTAATGACATGTAATTTATGTCCTGTACCTCAAGCTGCTGGTCATTCCTGGGGCAGACTGGAGGAAGCCAGACCCTGTCACTGCAGACTCCGGGGTGCATGTGGTCAGGAGTGGCTTCCCACGAGTTCATGCATGCGCTTGGTTTTGTACATGAGCAGTCCCGCTCAGACCGAGACCGATATGTTACAATTGTATGGAAAAACGTCATGCCAGGTTCAGATGAATGCTCACCTCCAAACATGTTATTGCATTCATAAACCCTTGCTTTTACACAGTTGTCTATAGTGTTCTATATTTTTTGTGTTTTGACAGACCATATTCATAACTTCCAGAAACAGGTGACAAACAATCTCCGCAGCCCATATGACTACAGCTCTGTCATGCATTATGGCAGGTGAGCTACTCTTTAAGGCAACATAATTGTAAGTTCTGCATGTTTTGCTGGATGTCCCTGCCTTATACAGTACTTTATGTGTCTTTCTTTCAGGTATGCCTTCTCTGAAGGTGGGGGACCAACAATAATCCCCAAACCAGATCCTTACATTCCCATTGGCCAGCGAGATGGGCCCAGTGCTCTAGATCTTCATAAAATAAATTCCCTGTATAACTGTGGTAGGTGAACTTAAAAATATGTTGACAATTGCTGAAAACATAATTTATTTCATTAAGAAAAACCAATAGATATTTTTATTCTACATCTCACTAGGTGGCACAGAGTAACTGGATCCAGAGTGACATATTCTGTTGTTCTGTCATGTTCTGTTAAAGCTGCTCTCAGGTAATATCAGATGTGGAAAATGATCATTTATAAGCATTGTTCTTGAGAATATTTCTATTAGCAATGTTAATTATGATGATTATTATTATCATAAATTATAGTCTGTACTGTTTGACTTTTCAGATATTCCTAAGTACAATCTTCTAAACTGCCATAGAATTGTCATAAGATAAAATAAAGGGACCAATAAGAATTGAAAGCTGCATTTCTCTAACTAAAATGATCATTGTGATAATGCCATGCTAAAAACTGACCAGTTTTTAAGTGCCTGTCTCCAGTTTGAATTATTTTGTTCAATTTTCTGCCTCCTTCTCACCTTTTGTTCACTTTGAATAAAGAAAATGAAGCATTTAAAGTGATGGTCTTTCCTTTGTTGCATCTGTGTCTCACAGAGATGAGCTGTGGATGCAGTATTACAGAATTTTAAGTCTGATAGGTGCTGTACCACTGCCACCTTACACTCTAGTGTAAGCAAGTACCACATACTCTCTCCCTAGCTACAGTGAGTAGTAGGAAAATATAGCAGGAACATACATTCAGTACCATGGTGGTATGCAAATATTTCAGCAAGGTTTATGCTGTCCTCTGTTATTCACTAACCGTTTCTTGAATGGCAAGCTATAAAACTGCTTTCATTTAATTTAAAGCAAAAACGTGTTTTGTGCGGTGTGCAAAATTTGCAGCTTTGTTGAGGAAGATATACCAGTTAATAATGTAACGTGTAATGGCTTATTGTGGCCATTTGCCGAGTAGGGCCGAGCTCCGAATGCAGCCATAGCCATTTGCTGCCTCCACTGTGTGAATGGGCGCAGCCACAGCTACTGGTCTCTGTGAGAGGGCGCTAAATTTTGAATGATGGTATGTGCATTGTTGTATATACAAATTACAGACCTGATCCTTTACTCAGCTTTTGCGACAAGTCAGCATCGAACCAGATCTTTCAGGTAGGCTACACTGTTCTTTTATTCTGTGTTTTCATTATGTATTAAGACAGTATATTTGAGAAGGACACGTTAACGTTGTCATTGTACTGTACTTTGAGACAGAAGGTCGCTCATTGAAATAACCAGCATTATAAATACGGTGGCGTGTTATCATTACACTTCATGTTTACATTGTGAGCGCGACATGATCACTGTTGTTTATCGATGCTGCCAGGTACATGGCTAATAATACTAGGTCTGTCTATAACTAATAAACGTTAGAATAATGAGTGATCTCTGTGTTCATGTGTGGACCAAATAATGGAGCTTCATAGCATTAACGTTAGTATATTTTACGAAGGTTAGACACGCTAACGTTACTGTAATGTACTGCACATATTGTGTATTTATTTAGTTTTTATGTTGTGCACACTGGGCGCCATTGAGCTGGAGTTAATTTCCTTGTGTTCTTAAAATACTTGGCAATAAAGTTTATGTTTATGCTTACTTTGAGACCGAAGATCGCACATTGCCTTTTGCAATAAAATAATAATAGACACAGTAGCCATCTTGGGTGCTACGGTGGCTGTGGTTTTGGCTATGATTGCTGCTTGAGTCAGGCTCTGGTCATCCTTTTAAGGGACACAGGTTAAAGCAGGATACCTTGTTTGATCCAGCTAGATTATCCCCCATGTACATTGATGCAATTGGTGTTCCCCGCGGCGTCCCAAATGAGTACAAGTTAGTAGATCAAGTGGCTGCAGGCTTTGAGTCCCCTCTTTTCTGGTAGGTAACCATAAACAAAAATGTAGATCGCATAAACTATGTTCATTTCAATGTTCAGCGTCTCACTAATTTCACTAGAGATTTGGCTTTAGGCTTTCATGAACATTTGGCAGCTACATCTATCATGTCATATCAAAGTAGATTGGCTTTAGACTTTGTTTTGGCCGAAAAAGGGGGCGTTTGTACTATGATTGGACAACAATGTTGTACCTATATTCCAATGAATACTGATCCTGATGGCTCAATTGCTAGGGCTCTGACTGGCTTAAAGGTCTTGTCAGAAGAGATGACTGAACACTCTGGTATTGCTAATTACATTGAAGATTGGTTTACTAATACTTTTGGCAAGTGGAAAAATTTTGTGATCTCTGCACTTACATCTTTGGTGGCAGGAGTCACACTGCTGACCTTGTGTGGATGCGGATGTATTCCCTGCATCAGGCATCTCTGTCTCAGGTACATTACCACTGCCATTGATAGTAGGTATCCACAGCCCCCTGCCTATGAATTGATACAAACTCCAGCCCCCTGGGAATCCTATCCCCTGACCTCCCTCACTGAGCCCGGTGACTCAAGTGCATTACCACTGCCATTGATAATAGATATCCTCAGCCCCCTGCCTATGAATTGATACAATCCCATGCCCTCTGGGAATCCTTTCCCCTGTTCTCCCTCACTGAGCCCGGTGAGAGAGAGATTGAAGAGCTCCATGGACCGGAGTGAAGATCGTGGATCCTACATAAAATGGTTAAAGGTTAATACATACTGATATATTCTTGCATACACGTAGGTGGTGTGAACTCATAGTTTGTTAATTGATTTTTGATAATTAAGTTTGGTAAGTATTAAGGAAAATTGCTAATGGTAACTTAAATTCTTATCATTGAGTGGTGTTCATGATTATGGTAGGATGTAAGAAAATCTTTGTTGTGTTCTGTGTATTAGCTACCCCCTAATGTTAGGATTAACCAATGAAAGTTTGCCACACATGATGTTTATACTTTTCCACGAATATGTCTGCTCAAATGCTCTTAATTGCATTGAATCAGCTTACACATACGGCATACATATAGAGGTCACTGCAACGAA